TTGTGCATTCAAATGTGTAATTAAGAGTGAAAATGTAAAAGAAAAATTAAAAATATAGATGTCTTTCACAATAATAGTGAAAGGTTGGAACATAATGTGCTAATTACTTTTTTAATAAATTATTTGGGACTCATTTGCAGTTTTTTAAAAAAGTTTGAGACAATAGTTGTAATTATTTATTTTTTTTCTTTTCGTTTTGTTTAAATAGAAAAGCATATTCGTCATTTCACAAATTTTAATTGATAAAATGGATGAAAAGATCTTTTTGCGCAATGAAATGTATAATAAGGGTGAAAATATCAAAAAATGAAAGATAATAACGTTTTCCACAATAATAGTGAAAGTCATGAACATTGTGTGCTAATTATCCTTCTACCAAACTTGAGCTATATTTGTTTGTATCCTTTATTTGACCCCTATTTGACGGCCATTTTTTCGGGAAAACATTGTTTTGAATAGTAAATTTTTGAAGAATATATGATTCAAAATAAATATAAAATTTGGGTTTAGTGTATAATATTTTATTGTGTAAATGCGTGGTTGAAAATGAGTTATGTAAAAAAAAGTCTTTTGAAATAATGAGAAACAAACAAGAGCTTAATTTTCAAAAATACAATTTAACTTTAAAAATATAAAATAAAATACAAATTATAGACTCGTTTGACAACCATTATTTTGAAAAAAAATAAATTGAATAGTGATTTTTATGAGAACGTGTTCCTAAAAATAACACTAAACCCAAATTTTATATTTATTTTGAACCATATATTCTCCAAAAATTTACTATTTTATTGTGTAAATGCGTGGTTGAAAATGAGTTATGTAGAAAAAAGTCTTTTGAAATAATGAGAAACAAACAAGAGCTTAATTTTCAAAAATACAATTTAACTTTAAAAATATAAAATAAAATACAAATTATAGACTCGTTTGACAACCATTATTTAAAAAAAAAAAAAATTGAATAGTGATTTTTATGAAAACGTGTTCCCAAAAAATAGGAAAAGTTTTGAATTTACGTGCATAATATTTTATTGCGTAAATGTGTGTTTGAAAATGAATATATAGAAAAAAAATTCAAATAATAATTGTCAAATAGGAGACATAATCAGGTCGAGGTAATAAGAGGTGGGTGTGGGGCCTTAGCTATCCTTAGACATATATGCTATACTAATTTAGGCTCTGGCCATTATTTGGATAAAATAATAATTTTTAGGCGAATGTGTTGTTAAAAAGTAAAGAAAAATCTTGAGTTACACGTAAAAAAATTTATCATGTGAATGTTAGTTGAAAATGAATGTGGAGAAAAAAAAAATTCAAATAATGATTGTCAAATAGAGGCTTAAAATATTCTTATTGTGGTACAAAAAACTCAATAAAGAACAACGATGTGTAAAGATCAAATTATTACTTATTTTCTTTTCTTTTTTTATCAATATTTTTCCTTTTCAACAAAATATAAAAGGATCATTTTCATAAATATATTAAGCCCCCTATTTGGTAGATATTAAAATTAGATTTTTATTAAATTTTATAAAAGTTGATGGAATGTGTGGTTGAAAAGTTATAGATCATATGAAATATGTTATTGAAATGAATTGTTGATTTTGACTTAATTTTTAATCGAATTTTTTGGCGATATCAAACTGCGGCTAAGTCATGTTAGGTACAAGTTTTTAAACCTCGTTTTTAATTATACATTTTTCAAATAAAATATTTTGTACATAAATTTATAATTTTTCTCACATTTTAATCACACAATATCCAAAAATATCAATTTTCACAAAAAAATTATTCTATAAAATATACATCAAACTTTCCCCAAATGTAATAATTCATGAAAAAGATAAAATAATAATATAAAAAAAAAGAGAACATATATTGTCTTATATAATTTAGCATAATAGAAAAAGAACATTATGAAGAATTTATGTTGTATGGGTTAAAAGAAAATGGGATGTTTTCAAAATTGTCAATAATGTGAGGGACGGTTTCTGAAAACTACTTTTTTTCAAGCACGACATATTCTTTAGTGCATGTTTGTCAAAGTTTATAATTATTTATAAACTGGTAAAATTTTATTTTTGTGCACATGTTCCTTACCATCAATAACTTACTTGTGAACCACACGTCTTGTGATCTATTGCGTATGAATAATTAGAAGCTTTGGCAAAAATGCAAAACATACTATAGATGACATTAGCCAACAAGAACATTCGATAATGACTACAAAGTATATCCTAAGCTCTAGTGAGTGGACCTCAAATTTCCGCCAAGACCAATTTTTAGTATTTTTTTTTTATTTCTCTTATAAGTTTAATATTTTACATTTTAATGTTAAACTCTTGTCTCCTCCAAACCCCCACCGATATCGACTTAGCCATAAAACCCCCCTCTTTGGGCCCTAGTCACTGAACTTGAAGAAAATGCTCCACTTAGGGGAAAAGGCGATAATGGAAAATGTGATCACCTGAAACGCGTCTAAATGGAAAAAAGGTGCACGCCTTTGATCAATTTTTTGAATTCCACAACGTCCGATAGAAAGGAGATATGAATCTGATCCGAATCAGTAAGATAATGAGTCGATAGTTGGAGATGCACATTATAACCAAGAATGTGAAAACTTTGGCATCCATCATATCTAACGATAACTCGACACAAACACCGTCAACAAATAGATATACGTGATGTCCATTATAATCAAACTGACGTGAATTAGAATCTAAATCCACGAACCATTTTTTTATTTTTAGTTTTAGTTTTGCAATTATATTCCCAACAAACAAGGGCATATTATTTTTTATAGTAGTGGTGGATGTGGGGATTTATAGAGAAGGGTGGAGTGTATTTGCTTGGAGTTGTCTTTATTAATCAAGATGTTTAACTTTTGCCCATCTTGCTTTTTTTTTTTTGTCTTGTAGACTAGATTATGCCTTTGCTTTATTTTCTTTCTTTATATATATTAATACCTAATTTTGGAAGGCTTATTTTCTATTTTCTTCAAGGCATTTGGTGATATTCTTTTCTTTTCGACAATATACTGTAGATTAAATTAATTAAATATTACGAAATGATTACAGTATTTATAGTTTGAGAATTATTTTTTCGTTGGAAACTTGAAAATTATGTATGAAATTCCTATGAATTTTTAAGGTATGCATTATTTTGTTTATAGGTCAAAAATAATATTACAAATAGGAAAACATTTTTTATGTCTATGTTTTGTTTATGCATGTCTAGACTTTTAGGACTTACGACTTCCCATGCTAATCTTACTTTTTTAGAACTTGATATTTGCCTTCGGAAAATATGTTGTACACGAGTAAATGAAAAGAATTTGCTTATTGGAGGCCAACAACATTACAAAAATTAAAAAGTTGAAAAGCGATACTGTCAATAAAAATAAGTTGAGATCAATTTACCATCTTTGCTTGTTTCAACTAAAAAAATTGATTAAAATTTATACCAAAATCAATAATTATTTTTAATTACATATTTCATGAGATTCATAACTTTTTAATTACTCATTCCATCATTTCTTTTTTTAAAGAATTATTAAATTTTTGATTTTTAAATGAAAATGCCCGCCCGAAAGGAGATCTACTTGATAGTCTTTCGACAAGAATCCAAATTTAAGTTTTGTTAGTTAGTCTCTTAGCCTTTTTCAAAATTTATTAAAAACTTAATTTTTATTTAAAACGAACATGTCACAAGGAGAAGGAGCCTTGGGGGTTATGGTGCAAGGTTCGTAGGCAAAAATACAAGACTTACCATATGCGGGGCCTGACATGTTTTTTTTTTTTTTAAATCTAAAAAGAGTAAAAATAATAATATTAAGGTTGAAAAATAAAAGTACCGAATATTTAGAACATATTTGAACCCCATTTTTAGAGATAAATGTTTCTTAAAATAATAGATTGATGGAAAATGTATGTTTAAGAAATAAGAAATTTTTTTGAATTTGCGTATAATATTATTTTATTGAAAAATGTATTATTATAAAATGAGAAATATATATGTTTTAAAAATGAAAAATGCTATTCATTCACAGTAGGAATGCATCCCCAATCTATGTGGATGTAAATGATTGGTTAAATGATACGTGAAATTAAATGACTTATTTAATTTTACCTATCATTTAACCAATCATTTAATGCCACATAGACTGGGAATGCGTCCCTAGTGAGGATGAATAGCATTTATTTTTAAAAATAGCGATGCTGAAGCGAGACTTTAAAATCCACGTGTTAATGTCAGGTCAAATCATGTAGACCAATTAAAGTTTCATAATCATAAGTTAGTCCACTTGCCATCTGCTAACACCTGTGAAAACCATTTACCAGATCAACTGTATTCCAAGTTTCTTTTCAAATTTCAAATTTCCAGTTAGTTTTTTTCTTGCTAAGCAAATGTAATAATTGTGGATAAATCCCACAAAATGTACGACGAAAAGTGAATAAAAATTGTGAGTTCAATAGATTATTTTATTAAAAATAAAGTTCGATTTACTTTTAACAAATAAAAATTTTACGAAACGAGCTCTAAAGTTCGAATTTTCCTCTAAACTACTCGTACAATATTTATTTGTTAAAATACCATTTAATTCATATCGACATGCAAAATAGAAGGAAGTTTAATAAAAGTTTCATGCGTTTGGATTTTCTCTTGTCGTTTTAGAACAGTTTTTCTGTTTCCTTTCCAACTAAATCCCACCGACCGTCAAATTTTTTTTCTCTCTCGCAATCTTCGGATCAAAGGTTGTCAGTTTCCACGTGTCTCAATCACAACGAAACCGGCCTCACTTGTCTGATTCAAAATTTATATATATATAAACCGTTGTAATATAATATTCACTTGTTTTCATATCCATTTTCTTTCTGATTTTCCTTAGCGAGCGATTCTCTCCACGTATAACCCTTCAGATTCTTCGCTGAAAAGTACATCTATTTGTCACTGAGTAGTGAGATTGCAGTACTCTTCTTTCGTCTTCAAGATTTGTATGTATGTCTGCGTTTGTGAAGAAACTTGTTGAAAAGGCTTCTTTGAAGAAGGTAAGCACTCATCTGTTCATCCAAATTTTCAGTTGTGAATCTTTCTTTAAAGTTGAAAATTTGTTTATGAATATAATTAATTACTCGTTGTCGTCTCTTAACTTGTTTTGTAGCCAATGATTTTTCCTTCTTCTGCAAATCGTTTCTTTTTACTGATGATCAGATTTTTTTTCTTCGGGATTCTGCATTTTGAGTTTCGTTATTGAGTTCCCCATTGATCTTAATTTCTTCCTGGGTATTATTATTATTATTATTATTATTATTAAAGATCGTGAATTTATGGTCATAATTTATGCAATATGAGAGAATCGGTAACGAATTTTGCAATAAATCGTCATAAATGGGAATAATTGAGACTAAAATTGGAACCATATCCTGAATTTAAGTCTATGAAACGTGTGTTCTTGGTAAAGTAGTAAGATGATTTTAAATGATAGGGTACAGTGTTCTTGATTTTTGTTGTAATTTGGTAAATTACTTTGTCTAATGTAGGAAAAGAAAAGGTCGGTAGTTGTCTTCCTTAAGTAAATGAAATGATGTTGTTATCAAGGATAAAGTGTTTTGACTGCACTATCTACACTTTACTTTCCATTAACTTATTCTCAATCAATACTTTTTCTTCTTTTTTATCTACTCTAACGACCCTTCTTAAAGTATATCTCAGCACCTTTATCCCCTGTTAACCTCTCTCTCTCTAGAATAAGTCAAGGATATGGGACAATTATGATATTGGTACTATTTTGTCAAATGTTGCTTTGCTCACATGGACTTCTAACGAGGAAAAATGGTGGAAACTTGAGGCAAATTTTTTATTAAACTTGCTGCAATAATTCTAGCAATACAATTAATTTAGGTAAAGGATCTCTAGAATTTAGTTTGTCTGAAGACCTCGCTGGGACTTTGTCGCGTGAAGACTTTTAAGGAGCTCGCTAGACTTAGGTGGATCTCTTCGATCCTGTCAACTTGGGCTTTTAGGACCTGGTGAAAATTGAGTTCAGTTTTGACATCAAGTGGGAGATCTTGTATTCTTTGGGATCTTTCTCTTAAATTGAAAGGTCAATCTAGAGACTTGCATGCGTTGAACGACCCGAAAGCTTAAACTATTAAACAAGGTCACAAGTATATCATTAAAATATTGTATTCGATGCGCCTTTCCACATCTAGGAACATCAAAACCTCACATGTGCACAGTTTCATTGAATGGGTGTCGGCACAACATGAACCCTTGACCTTCCATGCCAAATATGTTTATTAATTCATTAATTCTCTCTCATAATTTCTCACTTTTTTTTACTTAATGCCGCTGCTAGTAATCCTATAGAGAGGCTGCCTACTTTTCTTTCTTGTTTAAATTGATAATACACTTCCCGTGTATTCTTTTTTGATTAATAAAATTATCTAATTACCTATAAAAAAAATAAAATAATTTCTCACTTTCTACGTATCTACAAATCCATCCAAAATTCACTGTTTTAGTGTTTGCAGAGGGGTTATTATTATTTATGGATCTTGACCTCCAACACATTTAATTGTGTATTTGTGCCCGATGGAAGTTAGATATGACCAATAACTGTAAGAATAATGCTACATGTACATTATGGTACACATAATGGTGTCTATAAGGTACATATGGTGCCCCCTTATTGGGGGGAGTGCCTGTGGGCCAGGTGCTCCCCTCAATAGGGGGCGCCACATGTACATTGTGGACACCATTATGTGTAACATAATGAACATGAAGCATAAACCTAACTGTAAATAGTGATCTATAGCATGGTATAATAGCATTTGTTAAAAGGAAAATTATGGACACCATTATGTATAGAGTTATGTACATGTAGCACTTCTCTTGTTAAAAATCAAAAATAACATGGCAGAAAAACAAACATAACCGTGGTGCTCTTTTTTATCGTGATATTCAGAAGGTGGTAATTGAGTTCATTGTACGTTCTTGCCTTTGATTTGATTATATTTTGTATGAAACTTGCATAGTCACATTTTCCGCTATTCCAAATCTGAATTTGGATTCTAAAGATGGAGATTAAGGACAATATTTGATGGAAAACAATAGTTACATTATGATTAATACAATTCAAAACAGAAATGGTAAATCTCTTTCTAGACTTAATCTAAGCTATGAAACTATATAAGGATTATTTTTTAAGCAACTTATAAGTAATCTATCAAGATGTGTATAATGGCTAATTAACCATCTAATGCTAAATGCTATTCAAAATTCATCAAAATTAATTTGAAAATAGTTTGTCTTGACTTATTGTTGTGTTGCAGCCTGTGGGATTTTCAGATAATATCAAACCTGATGACGTAAACCCCCGTTTGGTTTTCCACTATGGTATCCCCACGGGATCCATTTTGCTGGCATATGACTCCATTCAACAAATTCTTGCTATCGCGACTAAGTAAGTTACTTCCATATTTTAGTCAATTATCGTTCAAGTCATGTAAGTATTCCCCTTTAATGTGTTTTGCATATAGGGTTGAATGTGGACATATTAATCGCAGAGACACTATTCTCTTGAAAATGATGTTGTTATCTGAATTGGACTATCATATCATAGTCATAAAGTAACAGGTATCTGTTTTAGTAGATAGACAAGGACATTCTTACTGTTGATTTTCAGACATTAGTTGCTGCTAAGGCACCGGAAAGTCACATCATCATTCTACATGATGAAATCTGTTTTTCTGTATTATGGTCTTGTCAGTGGAGATATGATACTGAAATTTAAGTGTAAGTGTGTCGCGGAAGCTTGTTCCAATGATCGTCAAAACGGTGTTTTCATGCTCAGTTTCACGTTATCGTTTTCTACCAAACAACCAATCCAAACGGCTCCAATCCATAACTAATATATTCACCTCAGTTGCTTCTCAATCTCACTCACAAAAGACATAATGGTGATGATTTGTAGCCACAAAGACAAGAAGAAAAACAATGAAGTAAGGCAAGAAACAGGACCAAAATACCAAGGAAGCCACACATTTTTTTCACCAAAAGTGGCTGCCGATTTCTCTCATCTCTTGCATACGGTTTCTTTCTTCTTTTCTCACAAATCACCCACAAAAACGGTTAGGGCAAAAACACCATATATATATATATAGGCTATGTTAGACTTTAGTTGGATTAATAGAATAGATTAAATGGCCAAGATTTAAACCCATCCAAAATGTAATATAATTGGGCTATGAGCAACATTAATTATTTAAGTTACTTCCAATGGCCCACGTTGTTTTCAGATTAAGCCTATAGACTTGGCTGTTGGTAACAATTTAATCCAACATTTACATTATCGCCCGGGATTCATTAGGTATCAAAACCCTACAAATCTCCACCTTAATACCCAATCGATTTGCAAGCAATCAAAATAAGAAGTTAATGTTTGCATAATCAAGACAACCAATAAAATTAGAATCAAATACCTTATATCGTGTTTCAGACCCGAAACACATATCATACCTGCTCCATGTACTCACCAGGGCTAACGTCACAAACAAATACCCAAGTAGAAGCAAATAATTACAGTAATCAATCAACAACAAATAAATGTGCGATGGAGATATCATATAGGATACCACAGATCTTTTCCAAACTACGTTCACACATAATAACAGATTAACATTAACTCAATCAATGAAACGGTTAAAAAACATATGCAACAAATGCATAAATGACCCCACGAAAAGATCTCACCATACATATCCTATTTCATTCCGTGTTGCTTACACTTCGAGAACACACATCTCACCTCATCGCCGACCATACTCACTAGACTGATCACTCAACTCATGTCTAACGGTAGATCTCTATAGATCCTAAGTACTTGGGATAATCCTCTATCACGACATCACTTTTCTCAACCTAAGTGGATAATGAGTCTCCATCTAACAGAGATGATAGAAGTGCCTCTCTTACACTCCACCTGATCAGAGTTTCTTTGCATATAAAGGATTCCAACATTTAATTACCTCTCCACTCGTGATTCAAATGTCACACTCCACATCCCCGGTACAAACCACTAATGTATCACTAGACATCTATACTCCATCAAACTGATAGACATACAACACATTGCTAATTCATGTTAACCACTATGCATGCAAACAATTACACCGAGTAATTAAATTGCTCTCAAATTTATGCAAATACACATATCAAACACATTGAAATGCACATATAACCATGCAACAGAATTAAGCAGTCATACACATGCAGAAAGGATTACGCATGGATGTACATGCAGTAACTAGGTTTACTCAATAAACATCACTCAAGTCATAGGACAACCTATTTCACCATGTCTAAATTTACTGTAGTTAAAACACATCTTATTTTTCTCACTTGCCTTAAACCTATATTTGCCATCAAAAGTTTTATAAAAAAAAAACCTCCAAATTAAAAAATCACATTTTTCATTTAAACAAACAACTCAAAACGTGTTGTCATTTTACCAAAAAATGCACAAAACATGAAATGCAACCAAACGAAGACCACAAGCAAACTACAGACACAATTCACACAGAGTGGTCATATAATCTTTCCTGAAGTTACGTGTAATTCTAGTAATGAAAAATAATTAACAAGAATTTTACGGAGAATTTAAGACAAATGATTAACAAGTAATTCCTAGTCCTAGTAATAGGCAATGGTTATCCTTTATGGTAACCTCAATCCTAATGTCACCCCACATGATGACTTCTAATGCGAAAAGTAAGTCGTTATTCTACACAATAACCATAACTGTAATAAAAAAAAGGAAAGAATACGATACCGAGTGGACCAATCTGAGTTCATAAATACCGAGAGATGTGAATTTATCACTTTATGACCACCACCATTCGTCCAAAGTCTCTAACAATCGCAGGAATCAATCAACTATGATCTAATCCCAAATACACGAAGAACATAATCGTCCAGACTTCATTGTATAACCTGAAACAGAAAACTAACAACACCAAAGTGTCAAGAAAAATGTCAGGAGTAAACTGCCTGAATACACCGTCGCAGGAGAGCCTCCATGCGCCCTCACGCGCCGCTCAAAGTCTCTGCACGTGGTTCCACTCGTCGGTTTCCTAGGAGCGTCTCCACCTGCACGTCACGTCGGTGGTCTCCATTTCGCCAAACTCCTTCTGGATTGGTCGGCAATCATGAAAATAGCATCGGATTTTAGGTAGTTTTCTAACAGTTTTTGATCTATTTTTCTGCTTCGTTTCAGCCGCTATTCAGATCGGTTTTTGGTTAGTTTTTCGAGCCAAATCCACCACATTAAAGTTCTTACATCAATTGTTGCGGAAGCTTGCTCCAAGAGTCGTCAAAATGGTGTTTTCTGGGCTCAATTTCACGTTACCTTTCTCTACTAAACAACCAATCCAAACGGCTCCAACCCACAACCAATATATTCACCTTGGTTGCTCCTCAATCCCACCCATAAAGGACAAGATAATGGTGATGATTTGTAGCCACAAAAGTAAAAAGAAAAACAATGAAGGTAAGAAACGGGACCAAAATACCAAGGAAGCCACTTGTTTTTTCACCAAAAGGGGCTGCCGATTTCTCTCCTCTCTTGCACACGGTTTCTTTCTTCTTTTCTCACAATTCACCTACAAAAAGGGCTAGGGTAAAAACACCATATATATAGGCTAGGTTGGGCTTTAGTTGGACCAATAGAAGAGGTTAAATGTGCCAAGATTCAAAGTCATCCAAGAGGTAACATAAATGAGCCGTGAGTAACATTAATTATTTAAGTTACTTCCAACGGCCTACGTTGTTTTTGAGTTGAGCTTTTAGATTTGGTTGTTAGTAACATTTTAATCCAACGTTTACGTCATCGTCCGGGATTCATTGGGTATCAAAACCCAACAAAGTGAAATATAGATTGTTGGAAGCACAATAGGACGATAAGCTTCCTTATGGAAAATATAAGATGGGAAGAAAATAATATATGGTATCATGACGGTGCTGCAAGTAGAGACTATGCTCGGTCACTTTCTTCTACAACCTTCAACTAGCCAACATCAATGCATAAGGTGTCAATGCATTGTCCAGAATATACTGCCACTGTGCAATGTGATCAATGTTTGTGGAAAAGAATATCGGGATGTCCTCAGCATGTGTCCTCTCAGCTGAGTCCTGTAAGCGTACATACTAGAACCTTTCCCAATAGAGTTCCAGTTGTGCTAAGCTCTCTTACCACTTAAAATAAATTAAATGTCTTCCTGGAAATTTCATATATTAAGAACCTTGGGGAAAAAATCGAAGAAAAATTGATTTCCTACCGAAGGTAGATAGGTTTTTTTAGGGGGGAGTTTGAATTATCCTGCGGTGATCCCAATTATATTTTTACATAATAAAATGTATTGTATCCTTCATGTTTCATAGATTGTTTTTGTCTATGTAAAGTTTAATGAGCTAAATTCTAATTCGTCTCCCCTTAGAGATGGACGAATCAAATTGTTTGGAAAAAATGGCTCACAAGCGCTACTGGAATCTTCGGAGACAGTACCAAGCAAATTTTTGCTGGTAAATGAATCATACATCTCACTTTACTTTTGGGTTGGGTCTACTTTAACATAGAAATTTATATTTTGTAGAATAGAATATGGATTTGAAGCATGCTTACATAAGTTTCCGTTTAATGCATGCTTATAACTTATATCAAGTGATAGCTTTTGTTTACAGTTTATAGAGAATCAAGGTGTACTACTAAACATAAATGTCAACAACCACATTGAGGTAAGTCGTTTGATATTTATTTTGGTTCAGTAACTGTAAAGTTTCTTCTATTTACATAATTTTCTGACTAATATAGCTCACATAACGGACTACGTTTTCAAACAAACCCCTGTTCTTGTATGTTTCATTTATCATTTTTTTTCTATATGTAATTATAATTGAAGTTCAGACAACTAATTTTCTTCAACATATTGTGTGTAGGTCTGGGATGTAGACAGGAAGTGTTTGTCTTATGTTCATAATTTTGAAAAGGAAATAGCCTCTTTTGTGGCAATGCAGCACGTTCCTTACCTGTACTGCTTCTGAAATTCATATCTAAGCACTGATTTCTATTCATGTTGCTGCAAACTATTTATGCTGTACATGTATTGGCAGGTATGCTGGAGATTCTACTGGCACTTTATCAGTATTGAGATTAGATCAAGAGCAATGGTACATAGAACAGATGAAATACCACATTCCTCTTTCAGCATCTCACGGTTAGAAGAAACTCTATTGTTTCTACAAGCTGTATGAAAAATATCATCGAGAAATACAAATTGCTGAATTTCTTGTTTATTTTTGAAGAGAGATATATAATCATTTTGAATAGTGTTTACTGTTAAGTGAGGCATTGAGATTCAATAGGAACGGAGGAACACGAGCTAACTAAAATTTACTCTTGCCGCTGAAACAAAAGAGAAACATGTCAATATGTTTGTTTTTTCTCAGAGATATTCATCTATTTTTTGTATTTTGCATGTCACCTGATGACTAATCAACATACAGGCAAAACAAATGAAGTTGAATGTGATATTGCTGTAAATTGTATACTGCCTCAACCTGCAGCTGAAAGTAAGAGGTAGCTCTCATATTCACATTATAATCCCTTTAGAGTTATACCTATGGCCACATGCTAAATTGAAAAGGAGAGTTTAAATAAATCTCATTCCAACAAAAGCAAGTTTTTTTCAACTCCTGGCTTTTAAGCTCTCCATTTGTAAGTCTGAGTTGAAAGTTAGAATTTATACTTCCATAGCTCCTCTCTTCTTCAGCCGATTGTATCACATCAAGCTCAGATTCGAATCAATCTCTCTCCTTGGCCAATCCATTATTTTTGTTTGCTGCAACTATTGTTTTCAAATTGTAGCAACCTGATAATTCTTTTTTTACGTATATTTTACTGTTTCCAGGGCTCTTATTATCTATTCTGATGGTGTTATTACATTATGGGCAATTCAAGAAAGCAAAGCAATTTTTACAGCCGGTGGTACCACATTGCAATCTCTATCTCACGAGACAAAGAAAGTAACAGCAGCTTGTTGGGCTTGCCCTATTGGAAGTAAAGTAGTTGTTGGATACAGCAACGGAGATATATTCATCTGGAGTGTTCCATGTCCCTTAAATTCAAAGACTGAACAGGCCTTTCATAATGAACTATGCAGTGGTCAAAGTGCTCCTGTTTGTAAATTAAATCTAGGATATAGAGCGGATAAAATCCCAATATCTAAGTTAAAATGGGCTGATGTAGATGGAAAATCGGGTCGACTATACGTTTTAGGCTCCTCTGACCATCTTTCTGCAAACTTGTTGCAGGTATTAAGTTAATTTCGACCATGATACATGCTCCTATATTAGTTACACACCTCCTTGGTATTAAGAAATTCATGATTCTATATTAGATTTTGTAATCTCAACAAACGAGCTTTTCTGCATACTTTCATAGACAATGGCAAAAAACTGATGTGTTATTTATGACGTGCATTTGGCGTGTTTAAGTTTAGATCAATTTTTGTTGTCTGAAAAATCAATACGATGTTGCAGGTCATTCTACTAAATGAACAAACTGAATCTCGCACAATTAAGTTAAGCATTCAGCTCCCGGAATTGTGTGTTGATATGGAGATTATTTCAAGCTCCGTTGAACAAAACAAGCACAGATATGATTCTCTGCTTTTGCTTGGAAAGTCGGGTCATGTCTACACTTACGACAATAGTTTAATTGAAAGATACCTGATACAGAGTCAAACAAAATCATCACCATCTCTCCCGAAGGAGGTAACAGTGGAACTACCATTTTCGGATTCAAGGATCACGGTATCCAAACTCGTAACAAATAATCCATGCATGCCATACTCTGGAGATGAGGTAAACATGAGGTCACTGATTACCATGATGTTTTGACATGATGAGATCATTGTTGACCAATAATAGGTTTTCCATGTTATCGTAATGTAGAACTTCGATGTGCTGGCAAAAAATAGTTTGCCACTTTTTCCATTCGAGGGAAGGCAGAAGGAAGGTAGTAACTCAACCAATTTTAGTTCATTTTCTACGGCTCGGAACTTGTACATAACAGGACATAATAATGGAGCCATTAACTTTTGGGATGCATCATGCCCACTTCTGCTTCCAGTAGCATCTCTAACTCAACAGGTAATTCCCTGCAGTATCATTACGTTCTACATTAAGTTTGAATGTTCATCAATACTAGTGAATAATTGTATATGTCCAAAATCTTGTTTTATTACTCTTATCATCAATTAGTAATTGCCACCTTTATTAATTATGCTGCAAAACCTACTTGTACATACAAGAGAAAACTGTGGAAATTTGGAAACATATGGAGAGAGAGGAGTGGAAGTGATACCCTTAGAAACTACAAAGATGTAAACTTAAAACAATCAAAATTCTCTTTCTTTTTCCTTTTTCATTTTTGTTGGTAAACTCAAAATTTCAAATTATATGACTACCTGGGATTGGTAAAAAGTTTTTTTTTTTTCCAATATTTACCTTTGGGACTACTTTAAACAACCCGATTTATTTTGACTTGATTTTGCAGAGCGATAATGATTTTTCCTTAACTGGTGTACCATTGACAGCATTGTACTTTGCCTATGACTCGCGAATCCTAATATCTGGAGATCAAAGTGGAATGGTAAGGTGGTTTCTTGATAAAGTTCTGGAAATATAATTTTTGTGCATATTTATGTGGATTTTAGAAGTGGTACAGTCTTTTACTATGTATGCTTTTTCAGGTGCGCATTTATAAACTTAAATCAGAGCCATTTGCACCTCAGAGCAGTTTTTTGTCCTTGCAAGGTACTAAGGCTTTTTTTGGCCTTCAATATCACTTGAATCTTGACTTATGTCACAGATTATTTTTAGTTGTTTCATGAGTGTGTCGAAGGAAAGCTGGAAATAGATTCATGCTGATTTACGTTTTAAATAATTTTTCGTAAATATCAAGTGAGATCAACTGAACACAAACTGATGTTAACTTTTTGGTTTTGAAGCAGTAATTTTGCCTTGGTTCAAAAGAATAAGACAGGTCAATAATATTGGCTAGAAAGTTAGAATTACTGATAATTATGCAAGTTCTGGGATCTGTTTCATATTATGACACTTCTCCTGAGATTTATAGCTTCTATTGTTCCTGCCAGTATGCAGTTATTGATAGCCTGGGACTGTGTACAGGTTCTTTTGAAAAAATTACATGCACATAGGCGCTTCATATGTATTTGATGCCTTTGTAATTATTCAAAAGCAGCAAGTGAGAGTGTGTTTGATGCACATTAAAATGGAAAGAATGCATTTTTTTTTTGTGACTTGATGGTAAATATGTGGTTGAAAAAAAAGGAAAAATTATTGATGTGATTGAAATATTATTTTATTGAAGAATGTGTGGTTGAAAATGAGTAGAAGAATGAAAATGAAAATGAGAATGTGGCTCAAACAGGGGCTGAATGTAAGTTTTTTCTTTGCTGTACACCAGGAAGTTCGAAGAAAGGAAACAATATCATCCGTAGCATTAAACTTGTAAAGGTTAATGGCGCTGTACTTTCAATACGCACATCCCAAAATTTAAAACAGCTTGCTATCGGGTCTGATCAAGGATATGTAAGATTTTCTTTCCTCTTCCTCCTCCTCTTCCTCTTCCTCTTCCTCTTCAACACTATGGTTTCCTACAGACAATGTTTATATTGAATATGACTGCAGTTTTGGTATCCAGTACTTTAAAAGGTCATAATCTGAAATCTATTGTAAATATACTGGATTTTAGTGATTGGAATCAGTTGTAGATGGAGAAAAATAGTGAAGACTTTATGCTCAAGTTGGCAACTGCAGGAAGGCAATATGTCTAAGATGTCGACGTTGGTCAGTTTCATTAGTTTTACCCATTTAAATGTCTAAACTGTCCTGTTAAGGAAAACTTGTACATGTATGAACATGATGTTGAGTTCAAGTACCGCGTTAGTTAGGATTATGAATCCTTCACACCCATTGGAATGTGATAGTAGCAATAATAATGATCCATGGTTGAAAATAATTATTCCTGATAATCTTATGGTTTTCATCAACACATCTTGAAATGTTGCAAATGAAAGGTGAAAAATCTTTCAAAAGTAACTTGGAAGGACAAGTTATCTCAATTCTGTAGCATGCATATGTTATCCAAGCATTCAAATACTTAATGCTTACAGGTATCATTAATTGATCCGGAGGGTCCCACTCTTTTGTATGAAAGGCATATTCCTAGCGAACTCTCCACAGGGATTATATCGACGCATTTTGAAACTAGTAAATTTCATGGTTTTGAGAAAAATGTTTTGATAGTGGCAACAAAAGATTCATCAGTTTTGGCACTTGAGAGTGATACAGGAAACACACTTAGCTCCAGCGTTGTCCATCCAAAGAAACCCTCTAGAGCTTTATTTATGCAGATTTTGGGTGAGTCTAAGATTTTACTTTAGTCTTTATTTTCGTATTGATTCCGAGGATTTATAAACTCTCTAAAGAAATAATTAGCATAACATTTTGCCCCTTCAAATTTTTACAGGTGGACAGGGTGTGTCTGGTAGAGGATATACTGTATCAGATGGTGTAAGCATTAATAACGTGAACTATGATGATGCCATACTATTGTTATGTGCAGAAAAAGCTGTTTATGTATATTCCTTATTGCATGTAGTTGAGGTAAAAGTACTTCTGTCATATCCTTGAATAAAAGATATGCAATTTTAGTGCAGCTGATTTTTTCTCTTTTATTTTTGTCATCTCTTTTCTTCAGGGAACTAAGAAAGTGCACTACAAAAAGAAGTTCCATTCCTCTTCTTGTTGCTGGGCATCAACTTTCAGCACTCCTAGTGATGGACTTGTACTTCTTTTCTCTGATGGAAAAATTCAGATAAGGTGATATTTCTCTTCTATTTAATGATAACATACTTGGTGACATAGTCATATAAGCTTCCCATACATTACTGACCAGGATTACCTTTTGCAATGAAACTTCTGCAGCTTTAATATATGAGTGGGGTTGAATTTTGTCTTTAAATGCAAAGATTTTGTGACTTGATGCAGTTTTTGGTTCTGATTGTTCCCTTACTTTCTTGAAATACTCCATCTTAAGAGGAGGAACTTTCCTGGTATTGCATTTGGTTTCTCTTTGTAAAATTTAAATTTTTTGATTTCCCTCTTCAAAATGAGTACAATTTTGAGTTCATCACGTGTGAAAACTTCAAGGTACTCTCAACATCAAATAAATGCATGTCCAAACCTTCAGAATGGACAAGACATCCTAACCCTTTATACGTGTCCCAAAAACTAAGCCAACTATGATTTACCAAGTAAGAAGATGTGTCTCCCCTTGTACCATTTTTCAACTGTAGTATATTCATTTCTTGAAAATTCCCTTCAACTTTTTCCGGCTGTCAAATTTTTAGAATGTCTTTAGCTCACCAACATATGGATAGTGAGCCCATGCATCAACATCCCTGATTGTAACTCTTTGTTGACGTAATACCTTGTTTCTAAAATGAGATTCATGTCTCAAGACTGATCCTAAACCATGAAATTAGTGATGCAGAATGAGAGAGGAAAGAATTAGAAGAGTAGAGTTCGAGAGAGTAATATTATAACATGTCTCAGTAGTCCATTATCAAACCAATAGTCTACATAGTTGAAAAGCTATTAAACTACAAAATGAAAAATTACCTAATTTAAAACTAATAATTATGGGAAGGAAATAAATGAAGTATAAGGAGATCCATGAAAATAATATTGTTGAATTCTACTTCCCAATATTATGATATATAACATCTCTAATCATATCTCCTTGGTTAGAGAACTTGGTTCTGGCGAGCTAAGCAACAAAGATAAGGAGGGTAATCTTTCCTTCAAACCAAGTACTAATATTGATCTCCTGATGGCAACAGAATGTACAGATCGTCCACAATAACACAAGGTGTCTCCTTATATACAAAATGAGCACGAAGCACTAGAACAAGGAATTTCCCTGTATGGACAAATAAGACAACGCTGGAACGTTGAACATTCCTCGATTAGGAAATTATTCTGCTAAATTTCAGATAGGACTTGTATTTAAACGAGATAGGCAATCAAATAAATCAACTCGAATTACTAGTTGTTGCCTTCTCCAACAATTTTGTTACTTCTCTTTGGTGAAGGGGGTAATAGGAACTGTAGTGTTATTTTGTTGGGCCCATAATATCGAGAAGTTGGCAGCAGAAATCTATTGTGCATCTCTCTCTAGGATTTCAATATAGAATTTAAACTGAAAGAAGTTCATATTATTGTTTTCCCCCAGAATTTATAGCCCTTCTTTGTACAAAAGAAATAGAAGAAAAAATAGAATATTTGATATTATACTTTGCTTGGAGGAGCATGGTTGATACATGTCTCATTGGGCTCGCAGTGAGATAGAATTGCCTGCTTTGCTGTGGCCAATAACTTTAAAGATTTGGGATTTCATCTTAAAATGTCAATCTTATTAAAGAGAAATAGCCCAAATCCTATATTGGTCTATATTTTCATTTTTATTCGATATGGAATTTATTTCTTAACATATCCCCGCAAGATAATGACTCATTTGAGCAATCAATCTTGAAATCCGTGCTCGTTTTTAAATTTTAATTGGATCGAATTGCTCTTTGAAGCTTAATGAATCTGATACTATATTAAAACTTGAAATTCCATCTTAAAATGTCAACCTTATTAAGATGAATAACTCAAATCCGTATATGTTAGTCTATATTTTCATCTTTATTCGATGTGAGATTTATCCTTTAACAAAAATCGAATCCTCTTGTGATGATGGTGCAAAACAGTTTCCCTTTATTGCTTATCTTCATTTCCATCTCATGCTGTTAATGTAATGGTAGTTATGAATATGTATCCTCCTTAATATTTTTAAACTTCAGGTCCCTTCCAGAATTATCCCTTCTGAAGGAAACTTCAGTGAATGGACTCATGTTGTCGACATCGAAAGCATCCTCAATTTCTGACAATTCAGTGTCTTCTTCACATGACGGTGAAATTATCATTGTAAGGCTGTATTACCTTGCTATTCCAGATAGTTGTTTTATAAAGTTTTCTAACAGAACGCTTACATGAGCTCCATATCTTTCTACATTCAGGTTAATGGTGATCAAGAGTTGTTTTTCCTCTCTATTTTTCTCTGCATGGAGGCTTACAGGTAATAAGGGTAGTAGAAGATTTTGAATTTTCGGGTCAGAAACATCTCATAATTGATTCCTTCCTAAATTTCAAGCAACTCTAAACTATTCAAAAAAAATATTATTTTCCCTTTGCACTGAATCCTATTTTTTTTCCAGAGGGAGAAATGATGTGGATTCTCTGTATAATTGTGGGAAAGAGAATTAATCAAAATTGTACTGTATTTTGCATGCTGATTTTGCTTTGCTCTGTCCCAGACTTCTGGACCCTGCTTCCCAAGTTTTTAATAAAGACCTGGTCAATGCTCAAGCGATCGTTTCTCTCCCTTCCGTTAAAGAAAAGAAGAAGGTATATTATTGGACTTGTTTGTACTGTTTTTGATAGTTTGAATGTGTTCTAATGATTTCTCTGGCTAATCTGGAGTGATAGGGTATATTCAGCTCTGTTATTAAAGAAAATAAAGGGACAAAATCAAAGAATGGGCTTGAGTTGGAAGCTGAAGATTCTAGAAAAAGTATTGAGGAACTAGCATTGATATTTTCAGCTGCTAACTTTCCAACTGGAGTAGAAACTGAAACAAAGATTATTAATAATGACGAGGATGATGACTTGGATATAGGTATTTCCTTTTGGGTTGTGCTATGTGTACACAATGGTGTACACAATGCATTACACCGCCCACACAATAAAAAATATGTGTGGGCCCCCCTCCATGTGAGAGGGATGTAATGCATTGTGTATACCATTGGGTGTACACATAGCATTATTCTTTCCTTTTTGCCAAGTTTTTTAGCTTCCTGGGTACACTGTATCCTGAAGAAAATGTGTGTTATTCTGGTTATAAATTTTTAATTGTTATTGCCTTTCATTTGAAAGATGACATTGACATTGACATTGAAGATCCAAAAGAGAAGCCAAAAGGACATCCAATGATAGAGGCACTGAATAAACAGAACATCAAAAATAAATTTCAAACAATTAAAGGTAAGCCTGTGATAACAAAAAAGCATTTTTTTTTGTTGGTGATTAGTGATATGATTTTCATTTTTCTCTTCCAAAGATTGGATAAACATTCTACAGATTTTTATATACAGTTTGTCAGATTACTTTATATACACATGGAAAGGAAATAAGGTTGAAGGCTTTAAGCATGATTTGAAATAAGGTCTAATTATTTAAACACGTGTAGACATATGGAGGGGAAATTTATTGTACAACAAAAACAATTAGAAACAGAAATTAAAAATCAGAAGATAAAAGACCAATATTTCATAGAACGTTAATAACATTGATTTTTCAGAACATAGAATGATGTCAATTTTGAACAATTTTGTAAATCCAATGCAACTAGTTGACACACATAGATATGGATTGGTAGGCAGGCAGGCTTAGAATAGGCTTTAATGACATTGGTATGATTTACGAAGAAAATTGGCTGACATCATAGTCTTTTGTCATCTTCCTGATCACTATTTTTCTGAGAATGCAGTATACTATGTGCCTCATAATGATTTGATGGCCATATAATTGAATAAAATGTAGTCGGGAGATATGAATGAAATAGATCTGCCACTGCACTTCCCTACCATATACCTAATACTTTTTCATGCATTTGTGAGGAACAAGTGTATCATTTTGATGTTTATAACAAATGGGTTCAAGGCTTTGACTATTAATATGAAGACATTCTGTAGCACAGTAAAAATTGCCAGTGGATAAACAAAACTGTGGGCAGGCTGCTTATCATTCCCGTTAGGTAATAGACGAGGAATCAGTAAATTGACATCAAATCGAGAGATCAAAAATTCTCACTATCATTCAAGAAGCAACAAAACAAACCTGTTTATGAAACTAAATTTCTAATCATTATAAACTAATAGACTTGTATGTTTCCTTTTCTATTGTGTTTTGTGAAGAATTGATAATCCATTAGGACAGGATTTGGAAAAGAGCTTGAGTATGTCAAAGATGATGGTAGTTTTATGTTTCTAAATTATTAATTTTACAGGTAAGTTGAAACATGCTAAGGTGAAGAATGATAAAACACCAGCAAATGAAGAGCCTCGAGAAGAAAAGGCTGGTGCTGCTGTTGATCAAATAAAGAAAAGATATGGATATGTTTCTTCTGGTGTAAGTGCGTTCATCCATGCATTAAACTTAACATTGATCCAAAGGCTCAAGTAATAAACTGTTGGGCTAAATATCAATATGTATTATTTCAAAGTAGAACCTAGACAGGAAAATCTTGCCCTGCAATGAAAATATATTGAATGTCCAAAGTTTGAACTTCCAAAGCCACAGCATGACCTAATATTCTAGATGGTTGCAGGAGTCAAGTGCTGCCAACATGGCAAAGACAAAGCTCAGTGAAAATTTGAAGAAGTTACAGGTATTATTTATCATTGGTTATCTCAATTTTTTTTTATCTGAAACGAGTTTGGTTTAGGAGGAACTCCTGCACTATTAATTTTGCAATTGTATTAGAATTGGATTTTAGCTTTATAGTGGGACTCTATGGATAAGGTGAAGTGGATAATGCTATAACATGCTGAGATGGAAGGAAAGGAACATGGAATTAGGAATGCCCTATCGAAAATCAAGTTCGATTTTTATTATTTGCAGATGCCTCCATGTATATTTTCTAATTTCGAAAATATCAAAACGAAATGACTTTTAACTGGAAAAAGAGCATATACAAAAACAATCACGTTATTTTTTACTAAGACGTTGTAGGTATGACCAGAAGTTCGAAAGTCCCATGGGATTCGAAGTATCAATGGGATATGACTTGAGGAAAATTTAACGAAGTTTATGTTTGTTGGGCAGGGCATCAACTTGAAAACTACTGAGATGCAAGATACAGCCCGATCATTTTCTTCTATGGCCAAAGAGGTGCTACGATTAGCTGAGACTGACAAAAAAGGCTCATGAGAGTTTACAAGATGGTTTGGTTGGCTCATACTACAGTCTCTGTTTCAAATGGTTTTTAGCATGTCCACACCAAGCTTGTATTGATATTTTTAAAATTGAATTGAGGGTCCAGCATGCACTGCTGCAACTATTTTTTTTTAAATCTCTATTTGTAATTTGTGTGTATAGTCAATTTGTGGACATGCACTACTCTTTCATGTATAAGTTTGTAATTGCTTATCTACAAGAATTTATTCTCTTTTCCTTCAGTCGCGGAAGCTGGCTCCAAGTTTCAGGGTCAGGTTTACGTTACATTTCTCTACCAAACAACCAATCCAAATGGCTCTAACCCACAACTAATATATTCACCTTGGTTGCTCCTCGGTATAACCCACAAAGGACAATATAAAGGTGATGATTTGTAACGACAAATGCAAGAAGAAAAAACAACAAAATAAGGCAAGAGAAGAGTCTAAAAAATCAAAGGGAAGTCACCGGTTTTTCTTCTTCAGCAAGCAACCAATCTCTTTCTTAAAGGCCAAGTTTTTTCCTCTCATTTTCACACACAAATCACACACTAAACGGTTAGGGCAAAGACAACTTATATAGATTAGGCTAGACTTTAGTTTGATTAATAAAGGTTAAATGGGCCAAAATTCAAAGTCATTCAAAAGATAATATAGATGGGGTCGTGAGCAATATTAATTATTTAAGCTAATTCCAACGGCTTATGTTGTTTTCGAGTCGACCCTTTAGGAAGCTACTTAAATACATGTTGATTCCATGAATGAAAACATCACTGTGAAGTACTTTTGACAACTAGTGGAACTTAGGTAGTTATCATTGATGATAATTCTAATCCTAATTATGTGTCCCAACAAGACATTTCACTAATTTAGGAAGAATGATGTAAAAGTATAGGAAGAAGCGATTTTTATCATGTGTCGAGTCCTTTAATGTAAAACTCTTTTTTCTTAGAAAGCTCCATGTTAATTCGTTCAATTAGTTTAGGGCTTGTTAAAGTTAAAACGAAATTTTTAAGAGTCAAAAGCTACTGCTTTTGGACTCATTTGACTAATTTTATGAAAAATGCTTCTTTTAGTTAAAAGCGTTTTTAGAGTAAGTTGACCAAATATGGCTTTCTTTAAAAGAAGTTCTAAATAGAAAACTTTTTTAAAAATTATTTTTCAAACAAAAATTAAAGTAAATTTTTCTACGTTGAATAAAAATAAAAGGAAAACTTACGTCAAGCAAACCTTTAATACTTTTAAGAACTCAAAATATTCATTTCGCGAAAATATCATTCCTATCACTAAAACTTTGTTTATTTGATTTGATGATACTGGAAATAAATTTTTGGTTAAAATGATCTAATTGGACTAATAAATGGTTAAATATGTCAAGAATCAAAGCCATTCAAAAGGTAATATATATGGACAATATTAATTATTTAAACTAATTCCAACGGTTCACGTTGTTTTTGGGTCGAGCCTTTGTGAAGCAACTTAAATACGTGTTGATTCCATGGATGAAAACTTCCGTGTGAAGTACTTTTGACAACAAGTGGAGTTTAGGTAGGCATCATTCATGAGAATTCTAATCCTAATTATGTGTCCCAACAAGACATTGCAGGAAGAGTCATGTAAAAGTATAGGAAATCATGTGTTGAGCCCTTTAATGTCAAACTCTTTTTTTTTCCTAGAAAGCTCCATGTTAATTCGTTCAATTAGTTTAAGAGCTTGTTTAGGAGCGATTAAAATCCAATTAAAATTGAAAATATAACCGTTATAGGGTCCCACTCGTCTAATAAAAGTCAACAAGGACAGCTAATTTTTCAATTTTAATCTGATTTTAATCTCTACCAAACACGCTTTAAAGCTTGTTTGACATGACTTTTGAGAAGTTAAAATAAGTTTTATAAGAGTCAAAAGATGCTGCTTTAGTCTCATTTGGCTAATTTTATGAAAAATGCTTCTTTTATTTAGAAATTTTTTTAAAGTGAGTTGGTCAAATATGACTTTCTTTAAAAGAAGTTCTGAATAGAGAACTCTTTTAAAAATTATTTTTGAAACAAAAAATAAAGTAAATTTTTCTACGATAAATAAAAATAAAAGTAAAAATTATGTCAAACAAGCATTTGATACTTTTAAGAACTCAAAATTTTCCTTGAGCGAAAATATTATTCCTATCACAAAAAATTCGTTTATTTGATTGGATGATATATTGAAAATAAATTTTAGTTAAAACTAATTGAACGAATTTTATTAGTATCTCTTGGGGAATAATTATCTTAACGTATAAATAAAAAATAATAATAAAAAGAGGAAAACATAAGCCAAAAGGGCCGGAACATGGGTAATTACATAATAAGCCCTACAGCTCACAAGGCATATCTCAATCATACCATGTTTATCGTGATTTATTTTAATGAAGGAATACAGCGACTGATGCTTATGCCCCGAAACGTCATAAAAGGGCAAATTCGTCATTAGAACACTTGTAGGTGAATAACTCAAAACCCTTCAAATCCATAGATTCAGCCACGTGTCAGCACTATTCCGCCAGCCACACATCCAACGGTCCAGAAGGCTTCCCAAACAAACACAGAGAAAACACAGAGCCAAGAGATCGGAGGTAAAATGCAGTGGGAATGGATTTTCAGCCAATGAATCATGAGCACACGGATCGATGACCTGGCAAAGAGAAGTTGGGATCCCGCCTAAACCCGGACTTCAATTTTTTCTGTGATTCAATTTTTAAGCTCTTTCCTTACAAACCCCTTGCTTCTTATCTTCCACTCCCTTTCACTCATATACTTAACAAAGCAAAGCAAGGCATATCTCTCTGTACTAGGGCAATTATTTTCTCTCTCTAGACGAGGTGAGTTGTTATATCCCGGAACTGCGCCGATTCTCCACCAATTCGCACCGTTTCTTACCGGTTTTCGCATATTTTTGACAGGTTACGCCATGAAAGGAGGTAGATCCAAGGCTGATACTAGGAAGGCTGAAAGCAAGTGCGGTTTTTAGCCTTTTACTGGTTTTTTTTTCAGATCTATGAGCTCTATTGATTTGGCATATTTTTTTCGTTGAATTCTCTAACAAATGGATTGCTTTTGAATCCATTAGGCTGTCTGTGAAAAAAGGTGCAGCAGCCGGGAAGAAGGCGGCACCAAAGGGCAAGCCTGCGAAGGACCCAAACAAACCAAAGAGGCCAGCTAGTGCCTTCTTCGTTTTCATGTACGACCTCTGCTCTATACCTTCCCGTTGCAAATTTCGCATCTATTTATAGACTTCTTAATTAAATTATTTTGGATCAATATAAGGGAGGACTTCAGGAAACAATACAAAGAGAAGCACCCCAACAACAAATCGGTTGCCGCTGTAAGTACTTTGTCTCGTATTCAGATCCCAAAGTTTGGTCCATGTTGTTTTGAATATATTTTTCAGTATTATCAATATCGATTTTTCTACTATACGTCTAAAATTAATGTTCCATAAATTATGTAGGTCGGAAAAGCTGGCGGTGACAAGTGGAAATCCTTGTCGGAAGCTGTAAGCATATTCTGCTACCATTTCTTTCCTATTGAAATTACTTCACAACTTTTGGGATTCGATAATTTTTTTTGACGGATTTTGTTTAAATTTAAAATATAGGAGAAAGCTCCCTACGTTGCTAAGGCTGAAAAACGGAAGGTTGAGTACGAAAAAACCCTCGAGGACTACAATAAGAAAATGGTAATTCTTTTGTATTTATAATTAAACAAGTTCCATCCAATTTCTTAAAAACAATTACGAAGTAAATGTCATAACAGGATGAAGGAGCTGGCGCTGAAGAAGACGAATCCGACAAGTCGAAATCCGAAGTGCATGACGAGGACGATGAAGACGAGGATGGAAGTGGAGAGGTCTGTAATTGATTAGTTAATTTTAATTTAAAATCCTTCGATTTTATTAATTTGGTGGGCTTCTGGAATTGCAGGACGAAGATGACGACGATGAGTAGGGAGATGGTTGGATTGATTGAAGAAATTGAAATTACCAAATTATTAACATTTTCTTTTTACTAGTGTCTACACCTACCCATGATAAATAGTAGACCTCTTTTTACCTTTTAATCATGAAAAGGAAAACGATTATTAGCTTGCATCAGAAGCAGCTAGTAATTCGGCTATGTATCTCTGATATTTTGTGAATTATGATCCACTGCTTTAATGATAATCTTGTTGGTTAGGTTATGTTTCCTTTTAATCAAGATTATTGTTAAGTACTGTCGTTGGATTTTCTATTGAAGATATTGTGAAATTAGGAGTGGAGTGGGTGGGTAATCCTTATTAGTCATATTGACACATTGTTTTGCCCCAATTTAGGAGAATTTATAAATGTTGAAACAGTGTTTCAAATCATTGTTATTTGACTCGGACTTGTTCTAAAAAAAATCGAGGTATTTTGAATTGTTTGTTGACATGGATTGGCCAACTCCCATAGTGTGATTGGCGGTGTGTACAAGGCTTCAGAATGAATTTACTGTCGTATGGCTGATTGGAGATTACTAGCGATTCTGAAAAATGTGATAGTGGATTATGGGCTTGTTAATGGCGTTGCTTTTGAAAAATGGCTTTTGAATTTATGAAGTTTTAAAATGTGTTAAGAATAGTTACTGAAGGAATGCCAAGGCTAAACCAATAGAGAAGCGGCGCAACATTGTAGATTGAAAAGCTTGTAAGATCGTAGATTATCTGTGTAGTTATTATCTCTACTACTCTTTCCTAATAGCGTTCGGCGTAACCTCTTGCCACATTTTGGTTGCAAAACGTAAGAAATGAGAGACAGAAAAAAGTGAGTAGCTGTAGTAAAATTGTTGTTTTCCTAATAGTGTTCTATGTCACATTTAAGTAAGCGTTAGATCTTTTGGTGGTTACAAAATGTTGGAACTGTGAGATATTGCGAGTTACATATGTTGCCATACATTTTTAATTGGGAATACTACATAATTACTACATTATAACAACACATTTTGAAATCGACACTCCCTAAGAATTTTCATAAATTAGGTGTTAAATCATAATATTAAATATATAATTATAATATAATATAAACTATGTTTGGATTAAATATATTATACCAAATTAACTCTTACAAATCTTACTATTTTATATTTAAAAGATTTTTTTCATAATTCTTTCACAATCAAACGACACTCTCTTTTTACAAACCCATCTTGCCAAAAATCTTCAAAATCATACAAATTCATTGCTTATCCTCGATTTCGAGTCACAATTTCATCGAAATACTTCTGATTTTTACTGTTTTAAAGAAGTTGAAGTTGGCTGTGGCGAAATCGGATTTTGCCAAAGCAAAAAATGAACTTATATGTGGTTTAATTTCGAAAGTAAATGTATAATCACCGTTAATCCTCGATTTTAAGTCACGATCAATGAATGAGGTCACAATTCTATCGACATACTTCTGATTTTCATTTTCTGGAGAAGTTGAAGTTCGGCTATAGAGGAAATGGATTTTCTGTGTATGATTTAGAATGCTAGTTTTGTACGTTTGCATGGTGTACAAAGGTCACACGTCACTTATACTAGTGAATGATACATGCAAGTATGATGAATTGGTCGAGCTTGTTCTTTCAGAATTGGGGCTTAATGGTGCAAATGATACATGCAAGTATGATGAATTGGTCGAGCTTAACATATTTGAGGTTAAAATCTTTGGATGGGGTTGTATCGAGTTATCCTATTATGGTTGATGTTATCGCTACAATTTCATGACAATCAAGATATACATTGTAATGCCCAGAGCCGTCGGCTACTTCCGTTTAGTCACCAGCTAGAGTGTTTTCTTTAGAACAAATAGTTCAAGAAATTTGTGACTCAGTGGTGACCGTTGACAAAGAAAACGTTGAAGAAGACATGACATTGGTATTCGAAGCAGATGCTAGAGCAGTAGTGGAGGGAAATGTTTGTTGCAACAAGGACATACTAAAAATGAGCTTGAAAGCATGGAGGTCACGCAAACAAACATTAAAATTGATTAGAGGTGATCTAACTACTTCGTTTTAGTTGTTGCCGTCTTATTTCTTTATACTAGAATTGATGAACATGGGGACAGTCACAAGATTAGAAACAGATCATTTAAATATTGTTTTATTGCTTTGGGTGCATCGATCGCTGGTTGGAAATATTGTAGGCCAGTCATTGTAGATGGAACACATTTAAATGGCCACAATGTGGTTACACTCTTCACGGTTTGTACACAAGATGTAAACAATAACATCTTCATACTAGCTTTTGGGTTTGGGGATAATGAAAATGATAAGTCATGGAGATGGTTTCTTGAGATGTTGAAGAGAGCACTTGGATCGAGAGACGGATTGTGTATAGTATCAGATAGGCACAATAGCATAAGAAATGTCATTGAATTCGTATATCCAGAGGCAATGCATGGGATCTGTTC